TCTAAATAGTATATTTAAAAACAATATATATTATTTAATGAAGATACTAGGGTAAATTAATTTTACTTTTCGAAATCTGTTTTGTGTAATTAAAAAAAAAATGTCTCAACAGAGCACCCATTAATATGTTATAAAATTAGTAGTAGCCTTAAAATGTTTTAATCTTACATTTTTCATACGTTCAATCACAGGTCCCAGAACTTGTATCTGTTCTTCTAAATAAAGTATCTGTTCTGTAACAGCCCTAACCTGAATTCGTGTAGGCATCTGGTTTAAAAATCGAATCTTCACTTATCACATTTTTTTGCTAGTCGTATTAGTCAATGTGATACATCATAGATGACAGAGACATTTGGTTTACTAACAAGGGTTAAAGAGAATAGTTTTAATCTCTTATGCTTATGACAGATGTGTTGAAATAATTTGTTTCATGAATCATAATTGTTTTTTTTTTAAAAAAAGGAGTAGAATGACGTTTATCCGTGGTTGTTACGATCGTTGATGCAGAGATAGGTGTAAACATTTGCAGACGTGTGTGTTAGCATCTGTGTAAATATACATTGCCAGCCCCCCCCCCCCCCCCACTACAGCATGACTGCTACAATACAGCAATAAAATATCAAAGTGTGATACCAAGGTGTGATACCAAGGTGTGATACAAAGGTGTGATACGAAGGTGTGATACCAAGGTGTGATACTAAGGTGTGATACCATGGTGTGATACCAAGGTGTGATACCAAAGTGTGATACCAAGGTGTGTTACCAAGGTGTGATACTAAGGTGTGATTCCAAGGTGTGATACCAAGGTGTGATTCCAAGGTGTGATACTAAGGTGTGATACCATGGTGTGATACCAAGGTGTGATACCAAGGTGTGATACCAAGGTGTGATACCAAGGTGTGATACCAAGGTGTGGTACAAAGGTGTAATACAACATTGTGATACAAAGGTGTGATACAAAGGTGTGATACCAAGGTGTGATACCAAGGTGTGATACTAAGGTGTGATACCATGGTGTGATACCAAGGTGTGATACCAAGGTGTGATACCAAGGTGTGATACCAAGGTGTGATACCAAGGTGTGATACCAAGGTGTGATACCAAGGTGTGATACCAAGGTGTGATACCAAGGTGTGATACCATGGTGTGATACCAGGGTGTGTTACCAAGATGTGGTACCAGGTGTGGTTAATTAATTTCAGCAGTTGTTTTACAAGCAATTTGTCGCTAGCAGGATATGGGTTAGTACGAAAGTAATATATATATAATTACTTGTAGTGACAAAACGTATACATTCGTTGCAAAATGTTTTTTAAATACATATTAATACTACGGAAAAAATAAATAAAACAGGAGTAATCTCCCTAAACATTAACGGTATATTCGTATATCGCCCTAAGTCGGAAGGCACTTTCAGTGCAATCGGGCGTTAAAAAGGTTTATAAAAATGTATTCTTAAATAACTAAATACAGTATATCAGTATAATTGTATCATAAAAGTGCATTTGCTCAACTATCTAGTCTGTGATAAGTCAGATGTCTAAAGTTTATCTATCACTAACTTTAGGTTTGCTAAATGTAAACTTACATTTGACTGAATAATCCTAAATTCTAAGCTGTTTTGGCATTTGATTTAATCACTCTAGTTTCAATACACTAACAAATTGTGACTCCACTTAATCAACAATGTGTGAAGTCATGAACACAAGTTGCAGCTACAACTTAGAGATGCCTGCTTTATGTGTACTTTGTACTGACCCGTCCTTTGGCTTCATTTCATACCATTAATCTTAGTTTAATATAAACATATGTAGCACAATATCGTGTTATCATTGACTGGTTTTATCACTTATATCAGCTCTAAATCAGGTGTGATCAAATCAAACAGTACATGACTGCTGATAGACTGTTTATAAGCTAAATTGCTTGTCAGTGAAATATTTCTCTGCAATACACAAAGTCAGCGTAGAGTAAATAACAAGCAAATAAGATGGGTGAAATATAAACCTTGGATCTCGGCCTTTTAAAATCTCAGTGGACGCCCAAGTTAATGACGAGCCATTGCTATGAAAATGATAAATGCTCTCTTCACACTAATCATTCATGTTTTCACAACCAAGAAATCCACCCACCATCCCGAAATTCCAAGTGTTCTCTTTACGCTGATCATTTCAAGTTTTCACAACCAAGAAATCCACCCACCTTCTTTACATTATGTGTTAATTAATGTAGTGCTCGGCACATATTTGCGAGAAAAGAACTTTACATTATATTTCGATATGGTTTTGAGATGTTTGCATATTATCTGTCTATAGTGAAGAAACGTTTCGTACACAAACTATTGCTTAAAGCGATACCACTTTAATTAGGCTTTTCTACAACACATGGAACAGCAATAGATATTAACCAATTTATAATTTGAGCTAACTTTTATTAGACTCACCGTGAATAATACAAAATATATTTGCAATACAAACAGAAATGTTAAACTTGCAAAATACATTTATATGTATCAAGTATAGAGTAATATCTATGATTGTCAAATTAGTTTTACTGCATCCTTTTTTTCATTATTTTCTTATTAAGGACTTAATAATATTACAAATATACAGTCTTAGTATTATATAAAGCAAAAGTAATGCTAGATAGAGTTATAAAACAGACATGTTATCTTCAGTGTATAAAGTAAATAATCCTAGCAATCCATTAGGCAGACTATGTAAAGTTCTTGTATTTCTTGACCTCGGCATATGAACAGAAGTTTTAGTTATTGAGTTAGGTGGACATTAGACCTAAGCGGACTCGTGGACGCTGAACTTGCTGGATCCAGATTCTATCTTGAGACTTTCAAGTTAGCAGCCTTTTACTCTACTGCATAGCCACGCCGTTACCTCTTCAGTGTATAAATATAATTATAAGCTCATAGCGAGAATTAACACTTATGATAATATTCAACTGAGATAATATTTTGATTTTAAATTTTTGAAATACACTATATTACTTTCAGCTAAATTCTTAAAATAGTGAAACTGCTTCCTTTTTGCAGAAAAGACCCTGGTCCTGATTGTAGAAATTTAAAATATAGTTCTTGACCTTTCTTCATCGGAACTACAGTTGATCCGCAAGCAGAAATATTGTCAGCTTTCGCGTAAATAGTTTTATACTTTAGTTTTCTAACTTTTTCATGACGTCACACTCCGTTGACTCAAGCACATGGACAAAAATTGTGTCTTCATGAATTCAGCCCACTTATAATGATTATTATTACTAAATGAATAGTTAATTTAAGCTTCAAAATGCTAATAGTTTTATTATTGACTATTTTATGTGTATTAACAGTTTATTTCACATATTATAATAATTGAAGAAGCCATCTTTGGTTACGTTTTTGCGACATCAGCAACAAAACATAAAATTGTACTTGGGTGCCAAGCAAGTGTAGAGGAAAGTGATGCGTCGCCTAGCTAGTGAAATCGTATATTATGCGTTAATACAATTGGTTTTTATTCTATGATTTATAATGATTTATCTACTTACCATTCCGATATAAATCTTCCCCATTTATCTTTGCAAAAAAGCGACGCAACCCTACCACTTTTTTTCTTATTTTATCGTTACACAATACGCTTGGTTTCTTTTCTAAATGTTATAAGAGTCATCTACCTACCAGTCCAGGGTAAACCCTTACGATTTTAGTCGACAAAATTGCACAACCCCCCCTCCCATCTTGTAAAAATGATGGTAAACGAACTTTCCAGGTCTCTGGTTCTTAAGATTGTACTTCACATTTACCCAAGCAATGCAGAAAGCAGTTGAATAAAGACATGTATCCGTTTAATTAACTTTTATCGTTTATAATCCAAAACTTCAGCTTATTAAAATTGACTTTTATCGCTTTTTGTGCTTCCCTACTGTCGGCAGCGGACTACTCCACCCGCTGCCCCTCTACATCAACTAGACCCATGGGTAGCCTACATTAAGGTAGACAGGTCCATGCTACTTCAGTGATAGTAATTATATACCTGTAGACGTGTTTGTATTAAGATTGTATACTAGTACAGAAAGCAAACCAAACACTTGCGATAATATAAAAAACCACCAATCAAACAGCCACAACAAATAAAGCAATCACACTTAACTTAATCAACACGACTAGACAAAGAACAGAAGACAAAAACAGACTAGTAGCAACGGCTATTTATGGATCGACTATATTGGAATATAGAATAAGATCTTGTTTTATTTTTAAAAACTGTGGCGAACAGATATACATTTTAACGCGAATCATCTTCTTAACGGTCTTGAGAGTTGTGTTTGATGTGCGAAAACACGTAAGCTATAGTGGTTTATTTCTCATTTTAAAAAAGAAATAAAACTCGATTAGCCTTGTTTAAGTTACGTAAAAATGGCATTCTTCACTAAACCTTAACCCAACTAAATAAACTAAGCATTTTTTTAAATCCCTAATTAAACCCAGACCCCCCTCTCCACACACAATATATCTCCTTATTTACTGTATGTCTTTATATTTTAAGTTGTTTTAACTTTTTAAAAGGCTTATTATTTCTTTAATCAGATGTTCATATTACACGCGAAGTAACTTTCTGCCTGCCTAAAGTTTCTTACTTTTATTATGCTTGTGTAACACAGGCGGTGCTGTAAGTATTATTTAGAATTTAGATAAATAAATGGAAAGAGTCTAGATATTTGTTGATTACCGGTTGTGTTACGGACAACAGAGCTCAGCTCTTAGTAACAGGGTAGCATGTCCAACATGCATAATATATATATATATATATATATATATATATATATATATATATATATATATATATATATATATATATATATATATATATATTATGGTCTATATATTGTCAGACTTATGTATATGCTATTTATGTGTGCGTGTTTGCGTAGGTGTTAATTCACATACACTGTTACTGACTAGAATCACAAGAGCGCTTTTTGTTTCGAGAATAACTGTAATTTATTTATTTTTTTACCGTGAAGCAAAACAAATGTTATTGTCAGTATCTTTCATAATATTTACAAATTCATAACATTCATTTTTATTCATTTGTGAAAACAAAAATACAATACAAATAAATAAATCGTGTTTTCCTAATGTTTTGGTGTGTTTCGCTTGTTATAATAAAATACGCTCAACTGGAGGTAAATAAGAGGCGGAGAATAAAATACGCTAAAATGGAGTTTTACCTTCGAGTCTACGAAGAGTTTTTGTTTCTAGTAATATTTTACAGTTTCGTATAATTCATCAGTCTAGAACCATGCCAAAAAGATCAGGTTGTTGTGTAATATTTATCAGCTGTAGCTTTTTTAATACTTAAGATAAATATTTATTTTCTCTAGTCAACGCATTCAAGCCTTCGTTTTTTTTAAATAGTTCATTTTATATGTGTCAAAGTTCTAGATTTTAATTTCATATTCAACAAGAACAATACGTTCATCTTAACACATACCATGTAGGTATTCAAATTAAACAAAATATTTTGATCATTCACCTAGCGCTGGAACTGTGTAATGATGACTAAACAAATAACATATAAACCATTATAGTTTTATGTAACCATGTTAGCGTGTGTTTAATAAGTTGGTTACATATTTTATTGTTTTGAGAATTTACCATCCACCATGTTTTGTGTTGTACTTCTATAAACTAACGATAGTAAAACTACTCCAGCCGGTTAAATTTGCGCCTTGTTCTGCGAGATACACTTCAAAGTAAAGTTCTTGACCTTTCTTCATGTCAACAACCACTGACCCAGCAGCGCTAGTGTAGGAACATTTCACTTCTATAGACTTACACCACACGCCTCCAGCCACCACACCAACTACAATCCGTTGATTTCCCCTTTCATGTAGAGTTACATATACAAGATATAAACCATCATGTGGTGATACAAATGTTCCTGATGTTTGATTAAAATGTTGACCGTTATATTCACGTACTTCACTAAATGTTGAAATAACTGATTCAACACTGACAGGTGTGGGATTAGCAAGCCTTACATGACAAGCATATCTGTTACATACACGTGACTCTGTTGATTAGAAAACATATGTATGATTTACATTTTTAATTTCATACATGCTCTGACTATTTGATTCCTACAATGTACATTTTCATTAATCATTTCAAATAGTTTCATTTTTTTCTTTAAGAACATTAATTTTAACTATTTGTTTTGTACCGCCCTAGGTTTTAGTGTTCTTAGTTTATCACATAAGACGATTTGAAACTATTAATTTTATACAAGTGTAGCAGGTGATGAAATAAGTCACCAAAAGTAAAACAAATACTATATACGTGCACTACATTCATTCTGTGTGTATTCACATTATAGTTTAATTGTAGACAGTTTATCTATTAAAAACAAAATACCAAATTTTATTCTGTTGTCATATCAGATTCTTATACAACCGGTGACACGATAAGTACAATCAACATTAACTATAGTTTATTTCACGTTAGTTTAAATAATTAGATAATAAGATATTAAAAATTTAACAATTTTTTGTGTAAGAGTTATTTTATTTTAGATTTAATTCCTGGTTTTAATGCGACAGTTTTAATAGTAGAAACGTAAAAGTATGAAATGACGGTAATTAAAATTCGTTAATTTTAAACAGCAGCTCTGTAAATGTCTTACTGTACTGTGGTGGACCGCTGTAGGTCGACCTCCGACATACCAGGTGGTGTAATGTACCAGGTGAGGAAACAAACACCTGACGGAAACCCACGAGTCTAGAGACTGGCACTATGGGTGAGTAAAATGTTCCATTCTTTATCACGTTATGGTCTGTCTGGCTAACGAACATCACGTGATGGTCTGTCTGGCTAACGAACATCACGTTATGGTCTGTCTGGCTAACGAACATTACGTTATGGTCTGTCTGGCTAACGAACATTACGTTATTGTCTGGCTAACGAACATTACGTTATGGTCTGCCTGGCTAACGAACATCACGATATGGTCTTGCTAACGAACATCACGTTATGGTCTGTCTGGTTAACGAATATCACGTTATGGTCTGTCTGGCTAACGAACATCACGTTATGGTCTGTCTGGCTAACGAACATCACGTTATAGTCTGTCTGGCTAACGAACATCACGTTATGGTCTGTCTGGCTAACGAACATCACGTTATGGTCTGTCTGGCTAACGAACATCACGTTATGGTCTGTCTGGCTAAAGAACATCACGTTATGGTATGTCTGGCTAACGAACATCACGTTATAGTCTGGCTATCGAACATCACGTTATGATCTAGCTAACAAACATCACGTTATGGTCTGTCTGGCTAACGAACTTTGTTTAACAAGTGGTTATGTCCGTGTTATAGAAAGACAGAGAGTAAAAGATTTAGATATAATTTGAGAGATTGAGGTTGGAATATTAAACAAACGTCATGAAACGTATAAAACATTTACCAATTTGTTAACATTATAAATTATGTTATAGCTTTTACTATTATGCATTTAACTGATAAAATCAAAAGTTAGATTTCCCATTAAATCTACCATTGTTATGTAAATAGGTTTTACATTTTTTAAACGTACCGATGAGATGAAAGTTGTTGATCAACTTTGAAATAGTATTTTCAAGTTCACCAAGCTAAAATGAAATAAAATAAATAAAATAATCACATATCTACATAGGCTATGATGTGGGACTGGCCCGCTAAAGTAAAAAAAAATAATGTCAACTTGTTAGAATTGAAAATGAATCAAAATATTTTCTTATTTAAATATTAAAATTGTTTCTCTGTAAATTAAAAAAAATAATGGACATATTATATAGACTAATAACAGACTTTTATTGACTTATTTGGGATTTATCAATGTTCTGGATTATTTAAATACAATCATTACAAACATACCTTATTTATTCGCTCTTTCCTATTTTCCAAGTTCTGGTTAAAGATTTGAATCAGTCTGTCAATGGGCATCAACTTTTGTTGTAGGAGTTTGTACATAACACTGTGCTAAAGACGATCATAATTGAAGATTCATACATTTAATTATTTTTATTGTATATTAAAACTCACATAGCATTTATATAAAAGTTATGTTCATATGTTAAGTTAGTCGACTGCCTCTTAATTAAGAATTTGAGGTTAATTACCTGGCAAGTAAGAATAGATCTTTGTAAAAATAAGACTGCAATTTTAAAACTTACCTTTAATTGCATCTTTTCAAATTGGGTTGATGTTTTGTCCAAGGTTTTATTATTTTCATCTTGTAAAGAAACAATCAAATCAGAATGGCTTTTAATTTCTTCTTTCATACCGTCTCTTACATCTGTATTAGCTTGCATCTCTTTATTTATTTTGAGTAATTTGTTTTCATATTCTTTCACATCTAGAGAAAGTTTCTCTAGTGTTTTGTTTGACTTAGTTTCTTTTTCTTTAAAACTTTCAATTTCTTTGTTCAGCTCCTTTGTTTTGTTATCTTGTTCACTTATTTGTTTTCTGAGATTTTTAAAATTCTGCTTTTGTTTTTTAGTCAGTTGTTCAATGTTTACCCCCATGTCACGCTGTTCTGTTACAAAGTTGTCTCTCCATTGTTTTATTTCTGATATGTCATCTGTAGACTTGTGTTGTGTGTCCTGTAGTGAAGAAAGTGTTGTTTCAATATAGGCGAGTCTACGCTCTAGGTCAGGATGTTCTTCAACTGAAAATAGTCACAAATATAAGTTTGTAATTTTAAAGGAATGAAATTTTGAAAAATAAGTTCTTTAAAACAGAATACAAAACAAAATTAAAGTATTTTTCTTTTTTTTTAAATTAAAAAGTATCAAACCGTACATCATTTAATATTGTATACAAAACTAAGACATACCCGTTGAGTGTTGAACTTGTGTGATGAGTTGTCTTGTAGATTCTACTGTTAGGAATGTTGCTGTTGTCTGTGTGTCAGGCTGTGGTAAAGATGGCGTTGGTTTCTTGACATCCTTGTTGTCTTTATCTGTGGGATTTGGGTTTAGAATTTTATTATAGTTACATTTTAAGGAATAATGTTTTATTGTAAACGCAGTATTTCTAAAGACTTTAGCTTGTTTATAATACGCTGCAAAGTGTTTTAATTTTTTACAGTAAATTTTGTAAAATTTAGGAAATCAAATTTCATTGAAATTCTTATTCGCTAAAAAAACTAATCTCTTCCTTCTGTTAAATTATCCAGGTCTACATATTTACATACTAATTTATTTTAAATTGATTTACATACTAATTTATTTTACATTGCTTTACATACTAATTTATTTTAAATTGAACTAATAAGTGTATACTGAATTTATAAACTGAAAGAGTAACATTAATTTTAAACCAAGGCGTTTAAAGAAAAATCACAAACTATTTTATTAAGTTATTACTATCCAACGCTCTATATGAATAAATGAAGTACAACAGTTGATTTTAAATTCTACATGCTAACCATATTATAGATTACACTATTGATTAAAGAATAGTTGTTGGTATATTTCAATCTCTAACAAAATAATATGTTGTGTTATAGTGGATTGAGAGTGATATTATATCCTTTAACATTAGTATGTGCCATTTCTTTAAGTTAAATTGTAAGAGGGATTTTTGCATTTTTCTCGGACCAAACGTTTACGCTACTTGACAGAAGGGTTAGAGATTTTAAATTTTAAAGTGAATTAAAAAACTGACCAGAAATATGTGACGTCACATCCAACAATGCTGTAGCTGCTGTGTCCAGTTCTTGTGATAGCTCGATGTAGCTGACAGATGATTGGTCAGTTTTTTCTTCTAGCCACGCCTTACTTTTTGTAACAACCTGGTGATCACAAACATAAACATTATTTCAACTGGCCACGTTTTGTATGGCTATTTTATGAGAAAATGTCAAACGTAAAACACTTTCTACCGTCTAAATGATACTTTGTTGGTTTTCAAATATTACAAAGTAAATCAAATTTGAATCTTTTAATATATATATATATATATATATATATATATATATATATATATATATATATATATATATATATATATATATATATATATATACAATTTAATTAGTTGGAGAACTTAATTTTACTTTTGAAAAATGCGTTTAGAAAAATAAAAGAAAAAAATTGTTATAACACAACAGTGTCAAAATAATATGTTTTTAAAAATTAGCAGTTGATTCTAGATGTTTTAATCTTACATTTTTCATAAAATTAATGACAGGTTCCAGAACTTGTAGCTGTTCTTCCAAATATTGTATCTGTTCTGTAACAACCTTTACCTGAATTCGTGTAGGCATCTGGTTTAAAAAAAGAATCTTCACTTATTACATTGTTTTGCTAGTCTCATAAGTCAATGTGATAGATAACAGAGGACAGAGACTTTTGGTTTAATGCCAATCCTTAGTCTCTTTTGCTTTGGACGGACTTGTTGTAATAATTCATGTTTCATTGAACATAACTACACAGGTAAAATAAGAGTAGCATGATGTATAATCGTGTAACGGTCTTTGATACAGAGAGACAAGTGCAAATATATGTAGATCTGCAGACGTAGCATACGCCGCTATCGACAGTACACCACCCCCTACATCCCACCTAAACCCACCCCGCCCAGTGAAAGCAGCCCCTTAATTTTAAATCGTATAATACTAAATTATCTGCCCCTAATAGCCGTCACTAACCCGGCTCTACGATTGTAAACCTTTGGAGTGAACTAGAGCTTACCAGACAGGTGGAGATGGGGGTGGTGGCTAAGCTGTGTGGTGTTTTCTATGGTCTCCATGAAGAGAATTATATGTATAGATATACTGATTTAAATACGCATCTACATAGAAAAAATGTAAAGTACTTTGGTTATTTTTTAAGATTTTATCGGATAATTTTTTTTATGGATACTTTATTTGAGGGGAGAGGCGTTGTCCAGAATTTTTTTCGCGAGTATTTGTAAGCAGATAGGACTGGTGTCCAAGTAGATACTTGAAGTGAGGATATGTTAGAGGTGCTCACAATGTAAACAACAACTCAACTTTGGTTACTGCCTGTGTTTGAAAACCTAAAATACATAACACTTTAACTAAGTATCGAAACTTGTCAAATGTTGTCTGTTTATCTTAAACTGAAATGAAATTACAAACCATTCCATAAATAAAATGACAATAATCACACCAATAGTTTTACAACACTTTTTTACACGAATTATATTTTTAACGCCTTCATTGCAGCTGTTACCCTCTCTACGAAACGTTTTTTATTTTTTTCATTAAATAATTATCTATTACAGCTGTTAAACTATAAAAATAATGCTTTTGTATTTATATGGTACCTCATTAAAAGTAGAACGGCGAACCTTAAAGTTCTTAACGGAAAAATCCGCTGCTATAAATATATCTTCTATCAGGTTATAAAGATGGCGACAACACAAGACAGGTACTAGAGCTGCTGTCTTGCCTTCAACTAAAACATTTAATTTAGGTAACACACAAATATTAAACACACTATCTTATTATATAATTATCTGTAGTGAGTGTCATTTTAATGTTTTAATACTATCTTAAACGAAATAAAAATTAACGTACATTTTAAAATTATTTTTAAAAAATATTACGCTTCATAAACATTATACTTTTAATAAAAAAAACATACAATTTATTACATTTTTCTTTGTTTATTGTTATCAGTAATGTATACATATTTATTTAAAGATATGTAAATTATATGTTTACACTTACTTCAAAGATAACTGCAGGAAATTTTACAGCTAGATCTAGATCTAAAATCGTTCTGCAAACATTCGACAACTGCTACGCTGGTCATGAAACCGAAATAACTGAACGGGAAATCCCGGTATTATCTAAAGAGTTGACGTCACGTTCCAAGGGACAGAACTGTCGCTGTTCACATTTATCTCGCTAGAACTCTTTAAGGTAACTCACAAAATACAGGAGTGGAATTATCATACCGCAATACGGTTGGGGGGAGGGGGGGGGGGCGAGACATATTCCGACCAAAAACAACAAATATATTTTGTACACCTTATTTCAACATATCTACTACAGCCGTGGTTGTTCTTCAGTATGTAGCACACACTGTCGCTTAGAGAAAAATCTAGATTAGCTATTAATTAGCTACTAAGTTTAGCAAAACTTCAAACAACTTCCATAACTTATCACTCCGCTTTAAATAGTATAATAGGGGTGTCAAAAGTTATGTGTCTAGTTTTGTACTAAACAAATAGGTATTTCTTTACTTAATTACCATTTAAATAAGAAACAATAAAGACTGACACAGACATGAAAATGATATTTGTTTTACATCTTTTAGTTACTAAAGCTTTTATTAGAGAAAGCAAAGTAATTTTATATTTTTATTTTTTTTAAACGGCCTGGTGAAAAAAGGTCTCCGTGCCTACCGCTGTTACCCTTATTGTGAACCCCAACAGTTGATGTTTTATTGTACACCCCAATAGTTGATGTTTTATTGTGAACCCCAACAGTTGATGTTTTATTGTGAACCCCGCTTGTTGATGTTTTATTGTGAACCCCTACAGTTGATTTTTTATTGTGAACCCCTACAGTTGATGTTTTATTGTGAACCCCAACTGTTGATGTTTTATTGTGAACCCCAACAGTTCATGTTTTATTGTGAACCCCAACAGTTGATGTTTTATTGTGAACCCCGCTTGTTGATGTTTTATTGTGAACCCCTACAGTTGATGTTTTATTGTGAACCCCAACAGTTGATGTTTTATTGTGAACCCCAACAGTTGATGTTTTATTGTGAACCCCAGCTGTTGATGTTTTATTGTGAACAGACTGTAAGCGTATCAGACATTAGGGAATGTTCTGGTAGATGCTAACTATAGTTATTCATTCCACAAGTAGAGGCTGTCTTCACCTAGGAAAACAAAGCATACAAAATATAGACATTATTTCTAACAAAAATTTGAACTTCACCTTACATGTCACATTTTATGATTTATTACATTAAGATATTCTGTCAAAAATTCGCTGAGGTAAGAAAACTTATTTTAATTATATCACTTTGTATTTATGCACTACCCTGCTCACCATTATTAAATTAGATTAGTTGTTGGTGTAAATTTATAGTGCTGGATAGAACTAACGAAGCTTAATTTGTCTTTGTTATCACAAAAACGAATTATTGTCTAAGTAAATGTAAATGGACTGGTAGGTTCACACATATCTTTTGATAATAACATATTTAATTATAAAGAATATATTCCAAAAACACAATTTTCATTAAAATTAAATTAGTTTATATTTTTATACATATGGCCGTATCAATTCCTATAAAGGAGCAATTACCTCAATTGCTGAATAATCTGAAAGAGATGAATAGTTTGCTGAAAAATAATTTAAGTGACTTTGATCAGCAGGTAAGCACATCTCATATAGCGATGTATTCACAAGACTTAATAATGTTATAGATAACATTATTAAGCTGCTTAAGAAATACAAACGCCAAAGCTTTTTTTCTAAGAGCTATTTATTAATGCAAATAATTTGCTAATGGGTGATATGAAATTTTATTTTCCATCCACATACCTTCAGTAAATAGATTTATACATGGTAGTGGAATTACTTAAAACACCCATTACAACAATGATGACAGTTTAGTTTTCAGATTTTTTTTAGGTTTTAAATAAATGAGCACATAAATGTTTACATATTTCAATCCTCGTCTATGTTATCGCATGGCCAGATAAAACAAGCAACATTGGAATGGTTGGACAATCCATCAGATGCAAAAATAGATTTTAAAGAAGTGGTTTCTATAGTAACAACAGTAAATACTGCCCTACTTGAACTTAAACAAACGATTTCTGGTAAATATTATAATATATAGTAGAGGTTTACTTTTTATTTTTAAATATTTTGTTGGATTATTAATTTATAACGGTAATATTCGACAAATGTCAAATAAAAAGATACATCACTAAACTTTTTATATTATACATATTTTTTTCCATAGACTACGTCGTACATTTAAAATCTTATGTATTGTAATATAGGCCTACATCTTTATTTTTAAAATTATTGTGTGTTTTCTAAATTCAAAATATACTGATTGGAAAGATAACATATCGTTTAAAAGACGTTGATTTTTATATTTTTAGATTGTGTGCTTTTGAAAACATTTATAATGCATTCCAAATATTTTTACATTTTTACTATTGTAAATCGAATCCTTAAACCATATTTGTTACACATGTCTAAAAGTTTCCTGCACCAAGTATCAAGTATCAAGCAATGGCTGCTGGAGATAAGACAACACAAGAGAATAAAAGTGTTGACTCTGTACACGATGTAAATTACTCTGATCATTCTATGTCAGGTAAAACTTTTATTTAGCTTAGCGAAAATTTAAAAAAAAGTAAATAATTGTAAAACGTTATTGTGGTACGTTACGTAATTTTATTATAAATAAACACACACACACAAACAGACACACACACACATATATATATATATATATATATATATATATATATATATATATATATATATATATATATATATATATATGGTTCCATGACAAATGATCTCAGGACAAATGATCTCAGGCAAAATATATCAGACAAAATATCTCACGGACAAATGATCCCAGGACAAATGATCTCAGGACAAATGATCTCAAGGACAAATGATTTCACAAGCATGATGAAAACAGAGAGTAGATAGGTAAGTAGTTGGTATTCTTTGAGAACTGTGATTGAATAGAGGCTCTTACTGACAATCTTCTTCGTTACAATTAACGAGGTTGAGTTTTTGTATGTGGAGCTTTGACTCTAATATAAATAGTGTTATCCACCAAGGCGTGATGGAGGGGTGTAGTAGTTTAGACTTTCATGACATGAACTACATGAACAAAGGTGGGGAGGGGGTGAAGTGAAGATTATGTAATATGATATAGATGTTATGTCCCTGACCTACATCTTCCCCTGATCGTGAGCGTGTTGTGTGTTCCAGCGACATATACCCTCATTAGGTGTAAAAATAAGTTTACTTTATAGAACTGTAGGATAAAAAGGTTATAGTTTGATTGCAAAGGCCTATTTGTTCAACGTGAACTCTTACCTTTTGGTACATAGAAATCGTCGTAATAGACTCAACAGTTGTACTATTTTGATGCATGTGCAAGTAATTAGTAACGTTGAGTTGATGTATGTGCTTTTCCTTTAAAAAATTAATTACTTCTTGAAATGTTGTTGTTTTGTTTTGATTTTGTTTACAATGTAACAACAACTGGTTTCTGTTCTCCAACATCTCCCCACCCCAGGTATAATAATTAATCACAATGTTTAGTGGCCAATCGTGACGTTTCATGACGTATGCGTGACTCAGATGCATTATCTACTGACAATTGTCAGCCTAACAACGTTTATTTGATTTATTTTGTCTGTGCCTGTTTTAACTAACATGCATGAAGCATTTCATAGTTATGGTGTATATGTACTTTCACATTTTATTTTGTTTTAATTAGAAACTAATTTGACTATAGGCGACAAGCTGCGGGCAATGAATGGATACCGAAGTTATTCTGATTGCTACCGGTTGAATTAGTTTGATATTAACACGGTTCAGTAGAAATAAAATATTTTGGAATATCATCTCTTCTGTTGACAATAATGAGCTTTGAATTGACAAGAAAAAAAGAAAAAAAAACTTGCTTTTTTCAATAGAAACAATTGTTAGTTACCATTTCCTAGGAAAGCAAAGCAAATTTATTTTCTTTTTCAGTTCATTTCAAAGATTATGCTTATGGTTAATATATTTGTTATATTTGAAAATCCACTCCCTACATCCATCCATTTATAAGTAATTTTTTAGGTGATTTGATATAACATGAACATGTATGTGTTTATGTTAATGTTGACCTTGTAAGGTGTTTAAAGTACCCACCAGAACTCTCTCGATTACAGATGACGTAGTCGACTCTAGCCCAAAATCCGAACCCGACACTTTCAGGTTATCACATGACATACCACACGACCACACCGTTCCAATGTTAAAGTCTGACAAGGGTAACGGTCTCCTTCAGCCTTGGTGTGAGTTACTTTGTGTGAGTTATTGTGCTTTAATTTGTGCTTTCACACGCGATGCTATCAATGGATCTTTATGTTATAACTGGGGTCTCTGTAACCCGCAGTTATGCAGTGAGAAGGTATTCAATGCCACTATGTTCCTCTCTAAACATTCAGTAGTCTTCCTAGAGTTTAACATAGAACAGGACAACATTAACGTAGATATATGAGTCGACAGGGTGACAGCAGTTAATTTCAATATTTTCTACACTATAAAATACAAATGACGACGTAAACAAACGATACTGAGACTTGACAACACTACGACCTCACCCCAACACAACAAGATTAAGACAAACTAAACTTCTTCCCGTCAACAACGATCCTACACTGAAACGTCACATTCTTGTGTACTGGGTACATACTTATGCGTCAATTATATCTTTCGCACCAATGTTTGTTCACATTTATACGCCTGATCAAAAAAACATCGTAACACTTTACTTAAGGCTAAAAGTGAAAATTCTAAGTAGCTAAATTTTAAAATTAGTTCCCTTTTCACCTAAATTATGTTTCTGCTACGTTATTAATTAAAAATGGAAATATATTTTAATATATATATATTATAGATGGAAGTTTTAAAATAGACCTCAATTACCGCTTTTAGTTAATTTTGTAAGCAAATGCTGGAAGTTTTAAAAAAATGTCGGCGATGTTTGTGTCATTGTCTGTTTTAAAACGTCGATATTTATACTGCCACTTGATGGTGTATTCCATCTCATTGCATCACGCACAACGACAACAGTTACTTCAAGTAGGCCTAAAGCAAAAACATTTTTTTTTCTTGAAATAATTTGGATTAGCTTTTTTAATACTTATGATAAATATTGTTTTGTCTAGTAAACATATTCAAGCCTTCGTTTTTTAAATAGTTCTTTTTTTGTGTCAAAGTTCTAGATTTTAATTACATATTCAACAAGAACAATATGCTTATCTTTAACACATAAAATGTAGGTATCAAAATTAAACAAAAGATTTTAATCATACACCTAGCGCTCACATACAGAGAATATGGAACTGTGTAATGATGACTAAACAAATAATATATAAACCATTATAGTATATTTAAACATGTAGTCGACATACATAATAAGTTGTTAACGTGTGTTTAATATGGTGGTTACATATATTATTGTTTTGAGAATTTGCCATCCACCATGTTTTTTGTTGTACTTCTATAAACTAACGATAGTGAAACTACTGTAGCAGGATAATTGTGCGCCATGTTCTGCACGAGACACTTTAAGATAAAGTTCTTGACCTTTCTTCATGTCAACAACCACTGACCCAGCAGCGCTAGAGTCACCACATTTCACTTCTATAGTCGTACACCACATGTCTCCAGCTATTACACCAACTCCAATTAGTTGCTCTTCCCATTCATGTAGACTGACACAGACAAGATATAAACCATCATGTGGGGATACAAATTTTCCTGTTGTTTGGTTAAAATGTTTCCCGTTATATTCATGCACTTCATCAAAGTTTGAAATAATTGATTCAGCACTGACAGGTGTGGGATCATCAAGCGTCACATAACAAGCATATCTGTTACATACACGTGACTCTGTTGATTGGAAAACATATTTATGATTTACATGTTTAATTTCACGAATGCTATTTGACTATTTGATCCATAATTTTTGTAAATTGTCGTTTCATTAGTTTATATTATTAACACTAAACATAAACTCCTTATATGTGTTTTGTACGCAGTAGGGCCCTATATAATGTAAGGTAAAATTGACAAACCCAAATCAAACATTTATTTTTCAAAAAATAAACTAGAATCCATAATGTTTACATAGCTTTGTCAAAGACCATAAATTGAAACACTAGACCAGTACACTAAACGTACAACAAATGTTATATACTGCTATGCTAAAACCGGGTCTACGACAAATTCCCGAACAACACTCGACCAAATGCCGTTTGCCCCAAGGTCGATTGCCCTAATGGGACAAATATTCGAATGGACATTTGTTTATATCAAATAGACATTTTTAATCAATTCAAGTTTGCCATTTTGGGCTTAAAAAAAGAAATGTGTTTATCTTTTTTTTAAAAATACATATACTATTAAAATGTAACATGTAATGTATGAAAATTGAAAAATTGCTGTAAAAAAACAACGTTATTCTTTAATAATGTAATGCTATGTTGGCGGCGGTGTTTTTATACTCACTTGATGTAAGTTTTGAACACCTTGTTTAGACGATGTGCTGCGGCGGTTATACAGCACGTATGGCACGGTGTAGACGGCGCGGCGTCTCGCAACATTGAACAGAGGCGTTTTTGATTGATTTATCGTTTTATGCTTAGCTTGTAGGGTGATCATTTACAACAGAACGAGGCACGGTCAAGTCAACGAATTTAAAAACTGAAGGTAGTCAATTATATTTGATCTTCATTTAATGCAGCTTGTTTAGATAATGTGTTGAAGCTATTACTAAATACAGAAAGTGAGAATCATTTTAAAAACCTCAGTTTAGTGAAAATTAAATTTTCGTCTTGCTTTATAGATAGCACAAGATGTAGGCCCTCACTTTCTATAATATGGCAAATACTAACTAATTCATAATGCATGCTTGAAGATATTAAATAGTATTTTGTTCCCTTTCAATTTGGTTAGACATTTATTTGATTATCAAAATTTCAAATTTAAGTTGATTAAGGATGACTATTTGGTAATCTGTAATGTTACCATTTACCGGGCAAACGGCCTTCGGGTAAGTGGATTTTGGGCATTTGTCCCATTCGGGCAAGTATCAATTCTGGCATTTGCCGCATCCGGCAAGCGACCATCCGTGTAGTTTAATTGTATATGGATTATCTATTGAAACAAGAATTACTAGAACTAAAATTGTTCTGTTGTACTTAATAATGACCGATAACAAGAGCTGCATAGTCTACCTTTTGTATTTTTCATTTCAAGTTACAGTCAAATAATGAGATATTAAAATGTTTAAAATGTGACAATTATAAATGTTTTCAAGTTATTATTTTATTTTAAATTTAATCCCTGTCTCTAATGAGGCACCGTCTTAATATTATAAACATAAAGGGATGACGTGACGTTATTTGAAATTAGTTTACTTAAACTGCAGCTCTGTAAATATTGAACGGTACTGTGGTAGACCGCTGTAGGTCGACCCCCGACATACCAGGTGGTGTAATGTACCAGGTGGTGTAATGTACCAGGTGGTGTAATGTACCAGGTGGTGTAATGTACCAGGTGGTGTAATGTACCAGGTGGTGTAATGTACCAGCTGGTGTAATGTACCAGGTGGTGTAATGTACCAGGTGGTGTAATGTACCAGGTTGTGTAATGTACCAGGTGGTGTAATGTACAAGGTGGTGTAATGTACCAGGTGGTGTAATGTACCAGGTGGTGTAATGTACCAGGTGGTGTAATGTACCAGGTATGTAATTACCAGGTGGTGTAATGTACCAGGTGGTGTAATGTACAAGGTGGTGTAATGTACCAGGTGGTGTAATGTACCAGGTGGTGTAATGTACCAGGTGGTGTAATGTACCAGGTGGTGTAATGTACCAGGTATGTAATTACCAGGTGGTGTAATGTACCAGGTGGTGTAATGTACCAGGTGGTGTAATGTACCAGGTGGTGTAATGTACCAGGTTGTGTAATGTACCAGGTGGTGTAATGTACAAGGTGGTGTAATGTACCAGGTGGTGTAATGTACCAGGTGGTGTAATGTACCAGGTGGTGTAATGTACCAGGTGGTGTAATGTACCAGGTGGTGTAATGTACCAGGTATGTAATTACCAGGTGGTGTAATGTACCAGGTGGTGTAATGTACCAGGTGGTGTAACGTACCAGGTGGTGTAATGTACCAGGTGGTGTAATGTACCAGGTGGTGTAATGTACCAGGTGGTGTAATGTACCAGGTGATGTAATGTACCAGGTGGTGTAATGTACCAGGTGGTGTAATGTACCAGGTGGTGTAATGTACCAGGTGGTGTAATGTACCAGGTGATGTAATGTACCAGGTGGTGTAATGTACCAGGTGGTGTAATGTACCAGGTGGTGTAATGTACCAGGTGGTGTAATGTACCAGGTGGTGTAATGTACCAGGTGGTGTAATGTACCAGGTGGTGTAATGTACCAGGTGGTGTAATGTACAAGGTGGTGTAATGTACCAGGTGGTGTAATGTACCAGGTGGTGTAATGTACCAGGTGGTGTAATGTACCAGGTGGTGTAATGTACCAGGTGGTGTAATGTACCACGTGGGTTAATGTACCAGGTGGTGTAATGTACCAGGTGGTGTAATGTACCAGGTGGTGTAATGTACCAGGTGGTGTAATGTACCAGGTGGTGTAATGTACCAGGTGGTGTAATGTACCAGGTGGTGTAATGTACCAGGTGGTGTAATGTACCAGGTGGTGTAATGTACCAGGTGGTGTAATGTACCAGGTGGTGTAATGTACCAGGTGGTGTAATGTACCAGGTTGTGTAATGTACCAGGTGGTGTAATGTACAAGGTGGTGTAATGTACCAGGTGGTGTAATGTACCAGGTGGTGTAATGTACCAGGTGGTGTAATGTACCAGGTATGTAATTACCAGGTGGTGTAATGTACCAGGTGGTGTAATGTACAAGGTGGTGTAATGTACCAGGTGGTGTAATGTACCAGGTGGTGTAATGTACCAGGTGGTGTAATGTACAAGGTGGTGTAATGTACCAGGTGGTGTAATGTACCAGGTGGTGTAATGTACCAGGTGGTGTAATGTACCAGGTGGTGTAATGTACCAGGTGGTGTAATGTACCAGGTGGTGTAATGTACCAGGTATGTAATCACCAGGTGGTGTAATGTACCAGGTGGTGTAATGTACCAGGTGGTGTAACGTACCAGGTGGTGTAACGTACCAGGTGGTGTAATGTACCAGGTGGTGTAATGTACCAGGTGGTGTAATGTACCAGGTGATGTAATGTACCAGGTGGTGTAATGTACCAGGTGGTGTAATGTACCAGGTGGTGTAATGTACCAGGTGGTGTAATGTACCAGGTGGTGTAATGTACCAGGTGGTGTAATGTACCAGGTGGTGTAATGTACCAGGTGGTGTAATGTACCAGGTGGTGTAATGTACCAGGTGGTGTAATGTACCAGGTGGTGTAATGTACCAGGTGGTGTAATGTACCAGGTGGTGTAATGTACAAGGTGGTGTAATGTACCAGGTGGTGTAATGTACCAGGTGGTGTAATGTACCAGGTGGTGTAATGTACCAGGTGGTGTAATGTACCAGGTGGTGTAATGTACCACGTGGGTTAATGTACCAGGTGGTGTAATGTACCAGGTGGTGTAATGTACCAGGTGGTGTAATGTACCAGGTGGTGTAATGTACCAGGTGGTGTAATGTACCAGGTGGTGTAATGTACCAGGTGGTGTAATGTACCAGGTGGTGTAATGTACCAGGTGGTGTAATGTACCAGGTGGTGTAATGTACCAGGTGGTGTAATGTACCAGGTGGTGTAATGTACCAGGTGGTGTAATGTACCAGGTGGTGTAATGTACCAGGTGGTGTAATGTACCAGGTGGTGTAATGTACCAGGTGGTGTAATGTACCAGGTGGTGTAATGTACCAGGTGATGTAATGTACCAGGTGGTGTAATGTACCAGGTGGTGTAATGTACCGGGTGGTGTAATGTACCAGGTGGTGTAATGTACCAGGTGGTGTATTTTACCAGGTGGTGTAATGTACCAGGTGGTGTAATGTACCAGGTGGTGCAATGTACCAGGTGGTGTAATGTACCAGGTGGTGTAATGTACCAGGTGGTGTAATGTACCAGGTGGTGTAATGTACCAGGTTGTGTAATGTACCAGGTGATGTAATGTACCAGGTGGTGTAATGTACCAGGTGGTGTAATGTACCAGGTGGTGTAATGTACCAGGTGGTGTAATGTACCTGGTGGTGTAATGTACCTGGTGGTGTAATGTACCAGGTGGTGTAATGTACCAGGTGGTGTAATGGACCAGGTGAGGAAACAAACACCTGACGGAAACCCACGGGTCTAGAGACTGGCACTATGGATGAGTGAAATGTTCCATTCTTTATCACGTGATGGTCTGTCTGGCTAACGAACATCACGTTATGGTCTGTCTGGCTAACGAACATCACGTTATGGTCTGTCTGGCTAACGAACATCACGTTATGGTCTGTCTGGCTAACGAACATCACGTTATGGTCTGTCTGGCTAACGAACATCACATTATGGTCTGTCTGGCTAACGAACATCACGTTATGGTCTGTCTGGCTAACGAACATCACGTTATGGTCTGTTTGGCTAACGAACATCACGTTATGGTCTGTCTGGCTAACGAACATCACGTTATGGTCTGTCTGGCTAACGAACATCCCGTAATTTTTTTTGGAAAAAAAGTTCAGGCAAACCTACCTAATAGATTCAAATCTTTGGACAACACTGAAATAGTAGCTTCAATAGATTCAAGCTAAAAAAAAGGTTTTGTCAAATGAGTGAAAAATCTCATAGTTACATAGAGCATACGATAGCTGCATTAATGTTAACTGGTTACGGCAACTTGTAAGAATATAAAATACTTTAAAGGATGTGTTATTTTTTTAAATTATTGATGTATTATTTAATTTAAGAAAACATGTTTTAACTGCTCTATTGACAGAATGTTAATAATTTAGGCTGCCTGTATCAACGTCGCAATTTAAATTTTTAATAAAATTACTACACGTATACCTTCGTAAATCTTTCTTCCCTAGTTTCCAAGTTCTGGTTAAAGATTTGAATCAGTCTGTCAATGGGCATCAATCTCTGTTGTAGTAGCTTGTACAATACATTTTGCTAAATATCAGAAGATTATATAAAAGCATTATAATTTTGCTTATTTTTAATGCATATTATTTCTAACATAAACATCAGTCTTAAAATTAGTAACTATATTAAAGTGTAACTGCTGATAAAGTTACTAAGTTGTTTTTTTTATTTAACCTGGTTATAATAAGCTTTCTGGCGAGTATCTGAAAAACTTTGAAAACACATAATTAGCAATTTTACCTTTTCTAATTGAGTTGATGCATTACACAAGATTTTATTACACTCCTCTTGTAGGGCAGCCATCAGATCCGAATGTCTTTTAATTTCTTGTGTTATACTGTCTATTTTGTCTGTGTAATCTTGCATATCTTTATTTATTTTGTTTAAGTTGTTTTCGTACTCTTTCATATCTAGTGTTTTGTTTGAATTGGATTCTTTTTCTTTTAAACTTTCAATTTCTTTGTTCAGCTCCTTTACTTTGTTATCTTGTTCACTCATTTGTTTTCTGAGGTTTTTAAAATTCTGATGTTGTTTTTTAGTCAGTTGATCAATGTTTATCCCCACGTCACTCTGTTCTGTTACAAAGTTGTCTCTCCATTGTTTTATTTCTGATATGTCATCTGTAGACTTGTGTTGTATGTCCTGTAGTGAAGATAGTGTTGTTTCAATATAGGCGAGTTTACGCTCTAGGTCAGGATGTTCTTTAACTGAGGTTAGTCACAAATATAATTTTGTAATTTAAAATAAATAAATAAATTTATTAAAATAAATAAGTTCCTTAAAACAGCGTTTAACGCAGAAACGATAATATAAAATATTTAAAAAGTAAAATAAAAAATATAACATTGCATACGATATATGATGTCGCTATGTAACATTTTATATCAAACAAAACTAAGACATACCAGCTGTATGTTGGACTTTTGTATTGAGTTGCTTTGTTGATTCTACTGTGAGAAATGTTGCTGTTGTCTGTGTGTCAGGATGTGGTAAAGATGGCGTTGGTTTGTTGACATCCATGTTGTCTCCATCTGGTGGATTGGGGTTTAGAATTTTATTTTAGTTACAGTTCAAGGAATAATGTTTAATTGTACATACAATATTTCTAGTAAGCTGCAAGGTGTTTTAATTTTTTACAATAATTTTTTTTCAAATTTAGACAATCAAATTTTATTGAAATTCTTTTTCGCTTAAAAATCTAATCTCTTCCTTCTGTTAAATTTTCCAGGTCTACATATTTACATACTAATTTATTTTAAATTGAAATAAGAATTGAATACCGAATTTATAAATTGAAAGTGTAACATTAATTTTTAACCAAAGCGTTTTAAAGAAAAATCATATAACATTCTATTAAGTCTTAGTTATTGCTAACTCTTTTTATGAATAAATAAAGTATAACAGTTGATTTTAAATTCTAAATGTTTACCATAATATCAATTATAAATGTTAATATTGTGTTAGTTTCTGGTATATGTCAATCTCTAAGAAAATAAAATGTTGTGTGATAGTGGATTGAGAGTGAAATTATATCCCTTAACAATGTTATGTCCCATTTATTTAAGTTAAATTGTAACAAAGATTCTTTGCCTTTTTTTCACACCAAACTTTTAAGCTACATGACAGCAGGCTTAGAGATTTTAAATTATAAAGTGAATTAAAAAGCTGACCTGAAATATGTGACGTCACATCCAACAAGGCCGTGGCTGCTGTGTCCAGTTCTTGTGATAGCTCGATGTAGCTGACAGATGATTGGTCAGTTTTTTCTTCTAGCCACGCCTTACTTTTTGTAACAATCTGGTGATCACAAACGTAAACATTATTTCAACTAGCCACGTTTTGTATGGCTGTTTTATGAGAAAATGTCAAACGTAAAACACTTTCTACAGTCTAAATGATATATTACTAAGAAGCCTATATAATGTTTTAATCTCTAAATAGTATGTTTAAAAACAATATATATATATATATATATATATATATATATATATATATATATATATATATATATATATATATATATATATAATTTAATGAAGATACTAGGGTAATTTTATTTTACTTTTCAAAAATAAGTTTTGTGTAATTAAAAAAATTGTTGTCTCAAAAGAGCCCCCATTAATATTTTATAAAATTAGTAGTAGCCTTAAAATGTTTTAATCTTACATTTTTTATACTTTCAACCACAGGTCCCAGAACTTGTATATGTTCTTCCAAATAAAGTATCTGTTCTGTAACAACCTTGACCTGAATTCGTGTAGGCATCTGGTTTAAAAATAGAATCTTCACATATCACATTTTTTTTGCTAGTCGTATAAGTCAATGTGATAGATCAGGGGTCTCCAAACATTTCAGCCCGAGGGCCGCATTAACTATCAAATATCAGTTCGGGGGCCAGAGTTTTTTCAAAACATCGATTCGGGGTGGTAGCGCCCCCCCCCCCCCTAACGAAATATAGTTTATGTTGAAATATATACAAATTTCAAGTGCCCTCCCCCCCCCCCGGAGAAAAAGTCCGAAAGAAACACTGTGGCCAAAAACACACTCGAGGTCCAAGATTGTTCTCAAATTATTCATCACGTATTACAATCTTGAAAATATTTGTTCACACAGGTATCTTGTTCCAAAAGTTTTATTATTAGGAAAGTCTTTCTTTTTCAAAAACTTATAAAAACCCACCCGCTCTTCTTTGAACGTTTCTTTAATGACCTCCAGCTGCAGTTCGTATTTGCAACTGACCACATTTGCTTCAAATGGGTTCTGAAACAGTCTCACTTTTTTCTCGCAAAGTAGCCATCTGACTGCTGTGAAATATGGTAAATCTTGCGATTCTGTGTTTCTATCTTTTAACATATCTCTAAACTATTTATATTCTCTCCGGTAACAGTGCCAGCTCTTTTGTTATGTTCATATCTTCATCCACACCTCTAATGAACATAAGCATTTGAGATGTGGAACAGCTGTCCAGCAACTGATCCATTACAATTAAAAAATTGCGAAACTTGCTTGTATTTTTCGCTATTTGAGTCACGCGGTTTTCACCAATGTCTGCAACATGGCGGGCAATGGTATTTGCACTCAAATTTTGAATTTTGTGGGCATAGTTTCTCAGCCACCTCTAACAAACATTTATTCCGTGGACAAAAAGATCGCAGCGGGCCGGATGAGAGGACATCGCGGGCCGCGTCTGGCCCGCTGGCCGTAGTTTGGAGACCCCAGTGATAGATCATAGATGACAGAGACATTTGGTTTACTAACAAGGGTTAAAGAGGAGGATATGTTTAGTCTCTTATTCTTATGACAGAAGTGTTGAAAAAATTTATGTTTCATGAAACATAATTGCATTGTTAAAACAATGAGTAGAATGACGTTTATCCGTGGTTGTTACGATCGTTGATGCAGAGATAGGTGTAAGCATTTGCAGACGTGAGTGTTAGCATCTGTGAAAATATAAATTGCCACCAACCACCCCCTACTACAGCATGACAGCTACATCACAGCAATAACATATCAAAGTGTGATACCAAGGTGTGATACCAAGGTGTGATACAAAGGTGTGATACCAAAATGTGATACCAAGATGTGATACCAAGTTGTGATACCAAGGTGTGATACCAAATTGTGGTCTCAAGATGTGATACCAAGATGTCATACCAAGGTGTGATACCAAGGTGTGATACCAAGGTGTGGTACCTAGGTGTGATACCATGGTGTGATACTAAGGTGTGATACCAAGGTGTGGTACCTAGGTGTGATACCAAGGTGTGATACCAAGGTGTGGTAAATTAATTTCAGCAGTTGTTTTACAAGCTATGGAACGCTAGCAGGATATGTGTTAGTATGAAAGTAATATATATTTAAATACTTGTAGTGATAGAACGTATACATTCGTTGTAAAATGTTATTTTAATACATACTAATACTACGGAAATAAAACAGGAGTAATCTTACTAAACATTAACGGTATGTTCGTATATCACCCTAAGTCGGAAGGCACGTTCAGTGCAATCGGGCGTTAAAAAGGTTTTAAAAATATTATTCTTAAATAACTAAATACGGTATAGCAGTATCATTGTATCATAAAAGTGCATTTGCTCAACTATCTAGTCTGTAATAAGTCAGATGTCTAAAGTTTATCTATCACTAACTTTTGGTTTGCTAAATGTAAACTTACATTTGACTGAATAATCCTAAGTTCTAAGCTGTTTGACACTTGATTTATTCACTCCACTTAAACAACAATGGTGAAGTCATGAACACAAGTTGCAGCCACCGAGTAGTGATGCCTGTTTTATTTGTACTTTGTAGTGACCCGTTCTTTGGCTTAATTTCTTATCATTTATCTCAGTGGAATATAAACACAAGATCATCGAATCGTGTTATTGTGCAATCATTGTCTGGTTTTATCACTTACATCTGCTCTAGTTTAGTTATGATAAAATAAAACAGTATATGACTGGTGATAGTCTGTTTATAAACTAAATTGGTTGTATGTCAGCGATACATTTCTCTGCATTGTACAAAGTCAGCGTAGAGTAAATAACAAGCAAATAAGATGGGTGAAATATAAACCTCGGATCTAGGCCTTTTAAATATCAGTGGACGCCCATGTTAATGACGAACCATTGATATGAAAATTGCTAAAAGCGATACCAATTTAACTGGGTATTTCTACAACAAAAGAGACAGTAATGGCTATTAATAAATATACAATTAGAGATAAAGTTTATTAGGCTCACCGTAAATAATAAAAAAAATATTTCCAAAACAAATAAAAATGTTAAATTTGCAAAATACATGTAACCCTCACTCAGTGGGGATGCTTTTACCCACTGAGGTGTTGTGGTTAAGACGGGCTGACCCTGAGATTAAGTACACACCGACGCCGACAGTTGTTGTCCAGTACTCGTTTATTTACAGCATCGAGCCATGACGGCGATGCAACACAGTAGTACAAGACGAACTAGCCAAGATAGACCAAAAGATCCAAACAATCCAAAAGACCAAAAGATCAAAAGATCAAAAGATCAAAATAGAAAAAGAACTGTAGCCCTAAAACAAATGTAAAATATAAAAGTTACATTCAGGACAACACCACGTGTAAGCTACAATATACACGGGTACAATAAATTATGTTTTCGGCCAGTACACAGTACTGCCAACAAGTACCAATAAGTAGTACTACAAAATAAATACTTAATTTAATACATCACCCTAACTAGTGTGCACATGCAGCACTAGCAGGAATACATAAGTAAGTATTTTAACAAACATAATTTAAATATCTACACTACCTTCATTAGGTCTACATCTTGGTCCACAGACAGCAGCCTTGCGTGTGCGACACGACTAGGCACATGTCACATGACATGGAACACAGGTAATTTCGCTCACAAAAGCATAAAAAAACGTCAACAGTTCAGTTGCAGTCCCACAGGGGCCGCAACCCAATGAATAAAAACTTCATAGTTTTATCCCCCTTTGGCTGGTAACCATATGTGTTACATACAATTATATGTATCAAGTATAGTTCAATATTTATGATTGTCAAATCAGTTTTACTGCATCCATTTTTTTTATATTTTCTTATTAAGGACTAAATAATATTACAAATACACATTGGAGAACTGAAGTTTAAAAATATTTATGCGGAACCTGCAGAGGCGTAGCGATGGGGGTGAGGGGGGGGGGGGTACATATGTCCCCGGTCGCCAACCTTAGGGGGCGCCAAAATGGGTTGAAAAAACAAATTAAAATGTTATTTTAGCTTCATTTTTGCATTATAAATAGTTTGATGGGGGGGAGCTTGCAACATCGAAAGTTTTAGGGGGGGGGTTGCAAATCGAAAGTTGAGGGGGGGGGGGTGATAATTGAAAATTTGCTCCCGAGGGGGCGCCAAATTGAGAGTTTGTCCCCGGGCGCCGGAAAGTGTCGCTACGCCTCTGGGAACCTGATAATATTTCTGCTTGCGGAGCAACTGTAGTTTCGTTAAAGAAAGGCCAAGAACTAAATTTTCAACAATCAAAATCAGCATCTTTCCGGCAAAAAAAAAAGCGTTTTCACTATTTTAAGAATTTAGCTGATAGGAATATAGTTGTTTTTATAAACCAAAAATTTAAAATCGAAATATAAACGGCATCAGTTGTACATTACCATTAGGGTTGATTCTTGCTATGAGCTTAAAATGATCTTTATTCACTGAAGAGGTAACGGCGTGGCTATGCGATAGAGTAAAAAGCTGATAACTCGAAAGTCTCAAGATAAAATCTGGATCCAGTAAGTTCAGCGTCCCAGATTCTGCTTAGCTTTGATGTCCACCTAACGCTATAACTAAAACGTTTTTACATATGCCGAGGTCAAGAAATATAAGAACTCTACTTTGTCGGCCAAATGGATCGCTATGTGTGAAGATTATTTACTTTATACACTGAATATAACATGGTTGTTTAATAACTCTACATAGCATTACTTTTACTGCATATAATATTAATAATGAATATGGTCTGTCTGGCTAACGAACAACACGTTATGGTCTGTCTGGATAACGAACTTTGTTTAACAAGTTGTTATGTCCATGTAATGGAAAAGCAGAGAGTGAAATATTTAGATAAAATGTGAGAGATTGAGGGTAGAATATTGAACAATGATAATAAAACAAATAAAACATTAAACGATTAGCTATCATTGCGAATTATATAATAGCTTTTACTATTGTTACATTTAAACGAAAAAATCAAAAGGTAGAATTGTCATTAAATTACAATTATTATATACATATGTTTAAAAATATTTTGTTTTCAAAGCAAACTTACCGATGAGATGAAAATCGTTAGACTACTTTGAAATAGTATTTTCAAGTTCACCCAGCTAAATTAAAATAAAATATATAAATGAAAGAATCACATATCAACAAAGGCTATCATACACAACTGGTCTACCGATTACATAGATTATGACAACTTGTAAGAAAAGAAAATGATTAAACGTATATATAAACGTATTTTCTTATTTTAAGTATTAAAATTATTTTTCTGCAAATAAAAAAAAAAATAATGGACATATAATAACAGACTTTAACTGAGTAATGTAGGACTGATCGGTGTGTAATTTATTGTTTATATCCCAGGTTTCTCAATGGGCATCAATCTTTGTTGTAGAAGTTTATACACAACACTGTGCTAAATAGATGATTTATACATTTAACTATTTTATTGTATATTAAAACTCACACACAATTAGCGTTTATATAACCTTTATGATCATAACTTAGGTTAGTCAATTTTAAAATTTACCTTTGATTGCAACTTTTTAAATTGGGTTGATGTTTTCACAAAGGTTTTATTATTTTCATCTTGTAAAGAAACAATCATATCAGAATGGTTTTTAATTTCTTCTTTTATAACGTCTCTTACATCTGTATTAGCTTGCATCCCCATATTTATTTTGAGTAATTTATTTTCATATTCTTTCACATCTAGAGAAAGTTTCTCTAGTGTTTTGTTTGAGTTGGATTTTTTTCTTTTAAAGTTTCAATTTCTTTGTTCATCTCCTTTACTTTGTTATCTTGTTCACTCATTTGTTTTCTGATGTTTTTAAAGTTCTGTGTTTGTTTTTTATTCATTTGATCAATGCTTACCCCAAAGTCATTCTGTTCTGTTAAAAAGTTGTCTCTTCATTGTTGTATTTCTGATATGTCATCTTTAGTTTTTTGTGTTGTGTCTTTTAGACAAGATATGCTGTTTTCTAGAAGACCCAGTCGGGTTAATACTTCTGTAAGGCATAATAAAGAATGTAACAGCAATGTTTCAAACAGAATAGAATAAGATTAATGTTTGTAAATTTCTTATTCTATTTTAAACGTTTTAAATTACAATTCTTTTCTCTTTTAAAACAGCAATTGAGATTCTGGGGACATACAATAGGAAACAAATTACGTCAATAATAGATTTCTCGAGCTTATATTAGATAATTGGCAATATAGAATATATAATCTTATATTTTATACCGGAAAAGTAAATAAAATCGTATATTTATCTAGAGATGGTATGGGAACTCTCGCCTTAAACTAGTTCTTTAGTTCATAACTGATAACATAATTTAGACAGACTTATTGTATTCAATGTTTACTTAAAATGTTTGAAGCTACATCCAACAAGGCTGTGGTCGCTGATGCAAGTTCCTGGCAAAGCTCTATGTATGTGATAGATGGGTTGTCATTTTTATCTTCCATCCACGTCTTGCTTTTTTCTAATGCCTGATGATATAAAAATTGTCAAAGTAGTTAAAACTATGTGGCTGCTAAACGTAACTTACTACTACGTACATGCTAATACACGAAACGACATTAACACAATTCAACTGTAAAATATGAATAATCGCTCACATTTTTCATCAAGCCAATAACAGGCTCCATCAATTGCATTTGTTCTTCCAAATATTTCATCTGTTCTCCAACAAACCTCAGCTGAATTCTGAGACGCATCTAAATAAAAGAAATATAAGATTAGTGTCTTTAACTGTCAGGTTAAGTGGGTAATTTGGTTTGTCGATCCAACGTCCGAGTCCCATGATTTTGGTTTTCATTTGGTTAATTTTTGACCGCTAGCCTGCCCAAAGTCAAGGAAATTGACTGTTATTAGAATGATAGATTTTTCGGTTTGGAGGATAAAGGCTGTGTCATCAGCTTACACTAGAATGTTTTTGTTTGTTTGGTTTGGTATGTCGATTCCTCTGATATCTCTTGTTTGTCTAATGCATTCTAACAGAGGTTCAAGTGTTAGTATATAAGGATTGGAGATAGGGGTAACCTTGTCGGTCTGATACATTTATTCTAAAAGGTTGGGAAATATGGTTTATCAGTAGGTGACTATGTGCATTAAAATAGTTTATTTTTATCCATGTCGTAAAGTATTGTCCTAAACTGTTTGCTTGTAAGATTTTGTGAAGGTATGTGTAAACTAACCGGTGGAAATTTTTAAAGTTTAAACTGAGTATGCATGCTTGTGTGTTTTTCTCGTGTGTAGTGGATGATGTCTCAAATTAAGTGATTGTAATGTTGTATGTTACTACCTGTGATGTTGCATTGTTGGTCTGCATTTATTATTTTAAGCAAGTGTGGTTCAATTTTTAAAGATTAGAGCTTTTGTTAGAATTTTTTATAATCGGTGTTTGTAAGAGAAATATGTCTATAGTCTATAGTTTGGGTTAATTTAGGATCGGTTTTGGGTTTGCGTATTAATGTTTGGTATGATCTATTGAAATTTTCGT